GGCGTGTCATGGCGAGAGGCGCGACGCGAAACCCGTTTCCGCCAGTTGTTGAAGCAAGAAAGCAGACAAAATATCGTTCGTATCGACCGTTTTCTACCATCTATGTTGATTACCTGCTCCATCAACAGATTTTGCGCCGCCCCCAACTCATCCTTCCTGACACGCCCCTTCATCCGCAGCGAAAAAGGCTTAACTTCCATAAGATATGAAGGCACACACTTCTGTGGTACTACTACCACAACCATGGCACGCATACTTTAGGAACCCTCAGCGTGGGGGTCCTATTTTGCGAAAATTCCCCCCTCCCCACGGGTGTACAGGCCCTGACCATATCAGCCCGCTTGGTTCGAAGAAGTGAAACCGTCGTGCGTGAATTTCATGAACCGATTGTTTTCTGCCGCGGAAGTTGCAAGAGGGATTCATATTGGTGACAGAACACAAAAATGAATCAGGGCACAGTACAAGCAATGAAAGCATCACTTGCCGCTTCCAAAGGTAAGCCCCAACAACATGCAACCCTTTGACGCAACGAAGTTCTTTTGGTGTCTGCACCAATATGAAGAATGTCATAGCTGTGATCATGACCCTAGTTTAACCAGCTAAAAGAGTCCCCTAAAGGAAGTTTTTGGGCTATAACGGTTAGGTGCTGCTATTAAATCAATCTCTACTCTGTTCTTAAATCATTCTAACATCATCAGTTATATCTAATCCAATCATATCGTTTCAGCGAGTAGGTGTGGTCGCCGCGGGTCTTGCTGTCACCGGAGGTGGTTTGATCTATGCATTGGAGAATTCGGTTCACGCTAGCGAAGAATCAGTACACTCTCTGAGCAAGTTGGCCGATGCGATCGAGGTCCCGTCAATTTCAATTTGACATCGCCTCGTAAGCTTTATGTTCCTTTAAACGTCCATGTTTTTTTTTCCATCTTCGCCAGTGCAGTAATACATAACGATGAATGGTTGGGGGAGGCGAGGGGTGCGGCAGGTGGCTATGCCACTTCGCAGTTCGGCTTGGTGGGAGCGTTTCGCTGGTTCCTTCCGACTTCTGCCAATGTCTCCTGCGCAGATCTGAGAATTCCTGTCCATCTAGGTAAGGGAAGCAGCTCTGTTTACACTTAGTAAGAGTCTACAAATCTCACTGTGGTGAAGCGTGTAATGAGGGCGTTTCGTACGTTGGGTAACCGCTAGCGGGAGTAATATAGTGTAGTTCGATGCGGACGGTTGGGCGTGTCAGGCGGGATGAGTTTGGCGCGTGCCAAACCCGTTCTCCACCAGTTGTTAAAGCGAGCAAGTGATATGACTGTATCATATCGTTCGTATTACTCGTTTTCTACCACTTTTTGTCGCATGCGCGCTTCAACAAGAAGGCAGAGAACGGCTTTGACAGTGTGAACACTCATACTGCCTGACACGCCCAACCGTCCGCAGCGAACTAGAGTATATATGCTCGATGGTGGTAGATGGAGGGGCGTTCGTATTTGGCTGAGAAATTTTTCCTGTTCCACCTGCCGCGATACATCGTTAAGAAAATTGCAATGGAATGGATCGTACTTGCATTTCAGAGGAATTTTTCGAGTCGAGAAGAGAATTTGTGGGTATCGACTTCCACAGTTTTTCCTGTTTTGCGTGTGCCATGTACTCCCTCCCCCACATCGAGAGGGCATTTTGGGGAAAACTAAAAAAATCGGAAATGTGGTGGAATGTGGAAGCGTAGGAAGATGACAGGTAGCACTGGAATTGGGTGGGTCGGGTCGTATCAAAGGAGCGAATTTGGGGAGGACTCTTTGCCCGAAAAATTTTCCTGCGGCAGGAGGTCCCCTGCTTGTACTTCAGCAGGAACTTAGTGGAAAGTGCCAAATGCCTAAGCTGAAACTGTGCCGTCACGTCATGTCTGCTTTTCGACCCCTCTCACTGTATAGGAAAATGGCGTAGATGCCCACACTATACCGAGAAGGCGTCGCTAAGCAGGATGAAACACGGCAGACATATCACGACGTCGCGCGGTCGTTGAGGAATCCTCGAACTTTCTTCATCACTCACAGAACGCGTGCCGGGTTCCATTCCAGATTTCCCTTGATTCTCTACTTCTCCAGTTGAGAGTTCCCCTTTCGTTGCTTAACTTCCATAAGAATTACGAAACTGACCGCGCTAAGTACCCAAGTTTAGTCAACTGTTGCAACCAGGAGGTTGTGGAGATTCCATTTCCGCAGCATTAGGCCGCAATCATGCATTGCGAAGTGAGAAGTTGTTAGAGGATTAGATATCAGTTTCAAGAAGTAACGAAATGCAGAATCGGTGAATGGGGAAATAGATCGCAATGCATGATGATCGACACGTATGTAACACTTGGAATCCTTTTCAATTGTCAATTCCTCACTGTAGAAACGTGTGAACTGAGCCTTCAGCAAATTAGTCACTTC